GCAGCGTCTCCCGCGGCTGGTCCGGCCGAGCAACCCTGGTTGCCTTCCTGCAAGCACCTCGCTGTGCTGAGGGAGCCAGGAGCAGATGGTGAGAGCCTCAGAGAACCTCCTCGCTGGAGGCGATGCCGCTGAGGCAGCCAGGAGCGGACGGTGAGGCCCAGAGAACCTCCTTGCTGGAGATGACACTGTTGAAGGGCTGCGGCTGTTGGCCAGACCAGGCATCCTGTACGGAGCCGTCGTCCTGCAGCTGTGATCTTCTCGCTGTTAAATGTGCTTTACTTAACAGGTTAGCCCTGGTTTTGCTGTGCTTTAGCTCATCGTGAGCTAATGGCAGAACAGGAAAAAAACCCAGCAAAATTAAAGTAAAAAAAAAAACACTTGCTGTTATTTTCTAACGTCCGGTGCTGTTTGAACACACGAGAGCCGTGTGTAACCTCTCCCAGAAACGATGCGTGAGGCAAGCTGTGATGTTGTTCTATAGCAGTTTTCATCATGCAGTCTGCGGCTCCCTGTAAGTCCCTGCCGTGCGTCTGTCGCAGCCGTGAAAGACAGTCAAGGGCAGCGTGCCTTTCAGTAAGCCCAACTTTTGTGTAAGGAGCTTACAGCATTTCTGGGAACGTTTAGGGCTCTGCGAATCAATAAAGTCTGGAGAAACGTGTTTGGTACGGAGGAGTGACGCTTCAGTGTCCTTACGGCCTTCCTGCTGCATCTCAGGGGGTTTCTTTCTTTGGCTGATACCGTATTCTGGTCCCGGTGGTGCTCCTTCGAGACATATGTTCCTCATCACACCGAGCAGTAGCATAGCAGTTCTTGGTGGCCTCTGTGATAGACAGCTGCAACCTCAAGAAGCCTTGATAATGGAAAATTGCAAACCGTGCTGAAAGCGTGGACCCTCCTTAGGCGTTTGTTAGTACAGGTGTGCACGGGCAATGGAGTTTAGATTCGGTGGGCGCAGGTTTGTGCATGACCATCCCTGACAGTGCAGTCCCGCTGCGTGACTCCTGGGAGGCTGCTGGAGCTGTCACGTTCAGGGAGCTCCTTGGCCCCCAAGGCTTTTGGCAGAGGGGCTCCAGACACTGCTGGTGATGGCATAAAGCAGCCGTCCATTGTAAATAATTTCTTTGCTTGTGTTTCAATATGCGTACGGAGAATTAGCAGTTGCTGCGGCACCATTATTAGTTTTAACTTGATGTAGATTTAGGGGAAAAATTGGAGGGGCTCAGGCTCTGCGGATGTCCTGCTAAAGTTTCTGCTGTCTTAACATGGAAGTATCCGTGCTTTCACCTAAAGCTGGCTGGTGGGGTATGGTAGGAATTTAGCATTTTTAGCAGGCAGTGGGTGTTTCTGCGACGTTTACCTAGGTGCTTTCTTTTTACAAAAACATATTGCTTGTGTGTTTGGGCTGTGGAGATAAGCTTCCAAATTAGGGCAAGTGCAAGAGATTTAACTGACTGTACCATCTCAGGACGTGTAGTGTGTATGTGAGGCCACTCAAAAAATGATGCGTTGTTAGAGTTCTCCAGTTGTGTCACCTTCACTTACAAGTACACCCCGAAAATTAGCTCTTTAGAATTGATCGGCTGTGCATAGGCTGTTATTTGGATGCAGCTTGTGTTTTACTGCAGAAATGAAATATTAGGACTCCAATAACTAGCAGTTCCTGAGCTCTTCTGAAGGTGGCCAGTCATCAACAATCCACATATCCAGTTGTTGACTTTCGTGCTAAATTTAAACTCTGTTGTTGTTGTTCTGTTTTTCTTGTTTGTTTGGTTTTCTTTTTTTTTTTTCCTCTTTCCTCAGTGTTAAATATCTGTTTATGCTTTTCAGCTTCCCATCACCAATGTTTCTTGGAATTGGACAGGTATGTTCAGTAGTAAAGCACACTGTATGTACTCTTTATGTTGTAAGTTAAACTAATGTTAGCACATAGATATATTTTATGGGGGAAATCTCTGTTATACTGCACTGCTGGTCTTCTAAATTAGATGCACTGTAAGGAAGAGTGATTTGTTTTAGTGAGATCAAGGAAATTTCAGCTCAAGTCAGAATTATTGCATGGGAAGAGTCACGAAAAGGGCTGGAAATGCCATTTATTTCCCCTGGTAGAGTTCAGTAGTTAAGAGATCTGGCCTTGAAACCTGCCAAGATTTGTTCCAAAAAGTGCATAGATCCTGTGAGAGTCCTTGAGCATTTGTGGATTATAGGCAGAGACATTGCCTCCATCCGTAGGCAAACTGTGTATTTCCTCATAAATCTTTCCCCTCTTTCCCAGCAGTTTTCCAACAGGACTGCCACACAGTTTTGCTGCATTGTTGCTTTATTTGCCTGTGGGCAATTTGCAGTAGTGCAGCAGAAGTGTGTTTCGTGTTGTTGATTTTGTTGTTAGTTTTGTTGTTAGTAAAACCAAAGTTCAAATGTTAGTGTGCATGATCCATAAAGAAGAACATGTGACTCTGCAGAGGGATGGCTGGGAAAGGTGAAGCCTTCAGGCAAGTGTTGTTTAGGCAAATACATTCAGAAGAGAGGATTTATTTTCTGCGAAGGTTACAAGCTGAGCGGTAGTGAGGAAGAGGTGAAAACGGTAATGCAGGTCTGATACCTCTGCTCCTTGGTGCTGAAGAGAGTGAAGTGTCTTGTGAAGTCTTTGCTGTATGGGAGGGGAATAGAAAGAGAGTTTCACACATCCAGACTGCTCAAGGAACCACATATCATATTTCCGTGGAAGCCAAAAACTAGAAAATGTGGCAATAGTTTGTGTTAAGGGCAAGGATACAGCCTGGTTTCTTTGCAGAACCTAAGACTCGATGGCATTTCCATTTTTTGTTGACTGATCCATGCAAGATTTCCCTGAATGGCTGTAAAGTGTATGTAATATGGTGCAGTGCTTTAGTCTGTAGAACGCAACTCCATCACATTTTCTCTATAGACAATTTATGGATTTTTTGTCTAAGGAAAATGTAACATTGTTTTGCCTTCCTGGGGCCAGCATTAACTCTTATGATGTGTGATTGCTTAGATGCTCTGCTCCATTCTGTCCGCATCTTTATTATTCGTTCCTCCTGTTGTCAACGGATGGGTCGATGCACAAGCCCTACCTTACATTACCAAAAAAGCTGTGGGAATGATTCTGCAGACTAAAGAACACTCTGAGTGAAAATAACATGATTATTCCGGGATCGTCTCCTGTTTTATTTCCTCAGCTCCTTCTCAGCATGCTTTAAAAGTGCTACTAATTTTTTCCAGCCAGTGAAACATGTTTGTATAGTACTTTTAAGGAAGTAGCAGGCAAAATTGGTAAGAATAAAGTTATTGCGGTTTATTAATTGCATGCTGTGTAGATCTTTGAAAAAAAAACAAACATAATACCTACCATTTGTCAACATGCATATAAAGATTTTGTCTTTGAAGCAGTTCTTTCGTTCATACATAACAATTTTGTTCTTACATGACTTCTTGTTTTTTTTCTTTTTGTTTAGATGGCAGCCACTATACTTATCTTGTATGTGTCAAAATTAAATAAGATTGTTCACTTCCCTGATTTTGACAAAAGTATACCTGTGAAGGTAAGGACTGATACTAAAAAAATGTTACCTCTTTTAATAGTATTCTTTCTTATGGAGACAAGAAACAAAAGAAGAACAGAAAACAATTTTGCATTTATTTGCCAAATGTGTTTGTATCTTTGTTTTGTTTATTATTGGAATTGATCATTTTAATTTCACTGCAATATTCCTGCCTTTTGTTTGAAGAGAAATCTGGTGCCATTTGGTTATGCAGTACATGGGAGAGTGTGCTGTACCTTTGTACAGCTGGATCAGCTCTTTCAGATTTCCAGCGTATTTTTCTGGATGTATGCAGCTGCTTGCAGGACCAATGGGAGACCTGTGTTTAAGAATGAATTTTGATCACAGCATGAAAGGCTGTTTGGAAATTTGAATGGGACGTGATGAAACAATAGATAAATAATATATGATAGACTGAAAACCCGAACAACAGTTGATTGAAAATGTAAGATTTCCTTAGGAGTGGCTAAAATAATGTCCACCAAAGATACTTTAGGTAGGGGCTAGCTGCATCGTGCAGACCTTAGGGGTGTGTGGTCTAAAGAGGCAGGATAGAGAGAATATGAGAGAGGATCTTTTATTATCTCAGATTGGGAACTAGGATCTGAAATGGCTGTAGCAACGATCCCCGTAGATTTTTGCATCCACTTTCAGTGTTGCTTTACTTTGATGCATAGCATAAGCCTGCGTGTTTATGCCTTATTGCAAGGTATTGGTCAGTGTTTGCTTGGAGGTACAGAGAGATTTAGCTCCCAGCTCTGCTGCAGGGCTTAGGCACCATAGCGTTCCAGGCCAACATCTTCATTGCAGAATCTTGTCTTACTGTCAGTATGAGGTTTACTATGAATGTCTCGCGGCCATCGGTGTATGCTGTAATTTCATAGCGCGTGCTGAAATCATTGGCGTTTCTGCACGTAAAAATCTTGTAGGAATATCTGTAGCATTGAGTGTAAAATGGACGATCCTTATTTTTTCCAAAGCATGAATGAAGAAGGTTTCCCAGTGGGTAGCTTTGAGTGTGGCATAGAAACAACTCGTTGAGACCTCGAGAGGCTTCTTCCCTCTGCACCCCTGCATTCCTACTACTCTCCCTCCCTGCTGTGGCCTTCACTTTAAAATCAATACAACGGCATTAAAAAACACAACACCCATTTTCGTTGTCCTAATAATATTTTACCCTTTGGAAGACTTTCCTGGGCGTGCTGGGAGCAGTCAGGACAGCAGCATGCCAGCACTTGGCATATTGCTTGTAGTGCTGAATTTGACTAGTCATGGTGAATCAGCTGGGTTGCTCGTTATTGATTGCTTAACTTTTTAAAGCACCCTGTGACTGACTCTTTATCCTTTTGACAAATTTTGCTTTCATTGACATTAAGATTATTGTTGCTTTTCAATCCTGGACTGGTTTATCTCCTCAGTGCTTTCAACCAGAGTTTTAAAGTAGCAAAGTGCTTATTTTAGTGAGGAAGCTTTGGAGTTCTTGGCCCTTTGTAAGTAAATGTTTCATTGATCTCTGATGGTGTGCTGGATGTTGTGATTTTGCCTTTACAATAGACGAAGTTCAGAGGAAAGAGAACATAACATCAGCTATATTTTCATGCTATGAATGAAGATAGTTTTCTAAATAAAAACCTGCAGAATAGATAGACTATTACAAAATTTTTGCAAGCATAAGTTGGCAGGCTGAGTATTTATTGTTACTTTTACTCATCTTACTTTATACTCCAATTTACTTTACTTTTACTGTTACCTTCACTTAAAAATTAACTTTTATTAACTATAGTTAACTTTAACTGTGCATTTCTCCTCTTCTTTGCTGTAGAAGAAAGGCAGAATTTTTAACACAGATAAAATACAGCCCATACCTTTGTGTGCTTTTCCGGCACACAGTGCTTTGGGCAGACATAGCCTCTAACAAACACAGTGTCTCCTGAAGCAGGTGCAGGCACAACAGCAGCAGCTATTACATACGTTAAAGGATCTGTTTTGTCTTTCTGCCATTTCAGCTCTGCTTGACTAATAGTGAATGGGACTAGAAGTACGCACCGCCTTTGTCCCCAGTGGTTATCTTTGGCTGGTTTTAATCCTCTCCACCTTTTCTGTGGTGGGAGAATAAGAGCTTTGAACGTCAGCTGCATGTTGTGTGGGGATGCCTGACTTCTGGTACATTTCGTTAAGGCTCTGAAGTTCCATTGTTGCCTCTCTGTGTTGTGTTAGGGCCCACATGTTTGTGTGGGAGTCAGTCTCATTACGCTAGAAGCTGGAAATGGTAAAGTTTATTTTACCTCTAAATACTTATCTTTCCTTTTTAGTATCTTGCATAGAATAATTTGCTAGGTAGATATAAAATGGTGTATCTTCCAGGCATACTAATATATGAGGAGTACCTAGAGAAGTATAGCATACTTACAGCTTATTAATTCTTTGATTCCACCTGTTCTCTTGCTTGTTCAGTTACTGTTATCAGTATCACTTTTATACCTAAAATTCAGATGTTAGAATGAGTATTAATCTGAGGATTATAGTAATTAAAATCAAATTGATTAACATTTACACTAAATAGAGTCCGAGTCTCATTAGAAGTATATTATGACTCTTCTAATAAAATCAGTGAAGTTGTGGTCGTGAACAGTCACGTGAATGAGAGCAGCAGATCAGTTTGCAGCGTAGTTACTTTTTTTTTCTTTAAAAACCCTCTTGCTAAAAGTAGATTTGATACTACAGTTACCAAGTTCTATCAAATAAAGTTTCTCAACAGTACTTCAAAACATAGTAATCTGAGTTTTGCTTTTAATTTTATCACAGTTGTTTCCTCTGCCTCTGATTTATGTTGGAAACCACATAAGTGGATTATCAAGTACCGGCAAACTCAGGTACAGTAAATGGGAGTTATAAGCAGACTGTTTGGATTTTACCCTTTTCTTTTGTGGGGGTAAAAAATAAATACTAAAAAAAACCATTGCATAGAGAGTTGAATGCATAAGATGTCTGTCTTTCTGTCTAAATGCCTGATACTAGTATGAAACTCTTACCCAAATACTGCATCCGTTTACAAGTTGCCTGCTTCTTTTAAGGGGGGCTTAGCTAGGTCTGTACTGACAGAAAATCACAGTACTCCTTGTGAGAATAGATGTGCTTTCACTTTCCCCTTGTACCCAAGCATCCAGCTTTTCCTGGGCATTTTAACCAGAGAGTTTGAAAGCTGTAAGAAGGACTTTTCTGAAGGAAAAAGAATATGGAGAAGAATTGTACTGTGATGTCGGTACAGGTTATTTAGGACACATCAAGAGATGGAAAAACTACTGTATAGCGGAGTGGTGGCAGCGATGTAGCCCTGCTGAGCACCAAGAGCAGGTTGTGAGGAAATTACTAAAGGGCTCGCTGGCTGCTGTAAGCCTGTAAGCGTAGATCCATGAGAGCTGCTTCCATGCTAGTGCTAAAAAGGTGTAAGCTATGTAGAGAACCTGCTGTAATAGACTGAATGACCAAATTTTCTGTGGAAGACTAGTGCAGAAGCATGATGGCTGCGCTAGGACTGGAGGATATGGCCCTACTGTTGCAGTGGTTGCTTGTGTGTTATTACAGGCTTCTGAGGATTTGAATCATAGAATCATAGGTTGGAAAAGACCTCTAAGATCAAGTCCAACCGTCAACCCAGCACCACCATTCCTAGTAAACCATGTCCTGAAGTGCCACATCTACATGTTTTTTAATCACCTCCAGGGATGGTGACTCAACCATCTCCCTAGGCAGCCTGTTCCAATGTCTGACCACTCTTTCAGTAAAGAAATTTTTCCTAATATCCAGTCTAAACCTCCCCTGACACAACTTGAGGCCATTGCCTCTCGTCCTATCGCTAGTTACCTGGGAGACCAGTGTCAAGTACAGGGGCACGATCACCTCCCTACTGCTGCTGGCCACACTGTTCCTGACAGAAGCCAGGATGCCCTTGGCCTTCTTGGCCACCTGGGCACACTGCTGCCTCATGCTCAGCTGGCTGTCGAGCAACACCCCAAGGTCCTTTTCTTCCGGGCGTCTTTCCAGCCACTCCTCCCCAAGCCTGTAGTGTTGCATGGGGTTGTTGTGACCAAAGTGCAGGACAGGGCATTTGGCCTTGTTGAACCTCATACAGTTGGCCTCAGCCCATTGATGCAGTCTGTCCAGATCCCTCTGCAGAGCCTTCCTACCCTCAGGCAGATCGACATTCCCGTCCACGTGGTGTCATCTGCAAACTTACTGAGGGAGCCCTCAGTCCCCTCATCCAGATCATTGATAAAGATGTTAAACAAGACCGGACCCAAACCTGAGCCCTGGGGAACACCACTCGTGGCCGGCCACCAGCTGGATTCAACTCCATTCACCACGACCCTCTGGGCTTGGCCGTTCAGCCAGTTCTTTATCCAGCGAAGAGTACACCCATCCAGACCATGAGGAGCTATTTTCTCCAGGAGGATGCTGTTGGGAACAGTGTCAAAGGCCTTACGGAAGTTCAGGTAGACAACATCCACAGCCTTTTCCTCATCCACTAGGCGGGTCACCTGGTCATAGAAGGAGATCAGGTTGGTCAAGCAGGACCTGCCTGTCGTGAACCCGTGGTGGTTGGGCCTGATCCCCTGGTTGTTGTTCTCATGCCTGGTGAGCGCATTCAAGATGAATCACTCCATAATCTTGCCCAGCACCACTGCTTTGATAGTAAGCTAAACCAAAACACAGCATTTTGCAGGTTTTCAGCATTTCATAAATTTGAAATGTTAAGTGCCTCATTATGCTGCTCTTTGTTGTATGCATTCAGAAGTTGTTCTACTGAAGTGACTGTTGAGGTAGACATAAGGGCTTTTGCAGTACTGTCCCTAGTAACACTTCAGCCAGTGTGAATATGGAAGTAATTTCAATCCTGTACAAGTTTGATTCATGGGTTCTTCTTTCCCCTGTTTCCCTAACTGTAATTTTAAGATAAAATGTTTATTGGGTTATTTTAAACCAAAGTGCATAATCTCCTCCTCCTATGACTGACATACTTCTTTTAGATTTACTATTCATAACTGATTTTTATAATAGAAAAGTGAGAATGGCTGCAGTGTTTCTACCATGAACATTTTGTTACAGTGCGTTTTGTTGCATTGTGTGGCATTTGTTTACGTTATGGATTTTTCCACCTTGTTGGGGTTGTCTGTAAGGTGTAGATGATCCTATGCATAGCTTCAAAATGTCTGTTGTGATTAAACTCTGTGTTAGGATTTGTGTCATTTATTAATGCAGTTGCTGATAGTTATTTTAAACAGAGGATTAAGTGGTCCATATGGCCATGCTGTCAGATATCCAAAGTGTCAGATGCAAGTGTTTTCTCAAATTAATCAGAAAGGTTTCCAAACGCATCACTTTGTGTTAACCAAGGATATGTTGTTCAAAAGTGGCTGCTTGTTTGGTAGTTGCAGCTGGTCCCAACTTTGATGTTTTGTGTACTTTTTGTGATTTTTTTCCTGTGGATTTATTTTACTTTTTTAAGAGTACAGCTTATTTACTAAGCATGTTTTCTTCGTACTTTATTTCTGTTGTATGTTTTCAGAGACAGGTTTATTGTGTGTCCTTTAAGTTTACAACAGAAATAATTTTTACTTGCCTTGCCCATGAATTCTACAGGAAGAATTATTTCATAGGGACTATGCGAGGTAGAAAGTAGCTTTTACATTTAATTTCATTTATGCAGGGGGGGCCTTTTAGAAGTAGCTAGTTGCATTGTGTTAAAACTGACAAATCTTGTTAGTTTTCAGTGATTTGGTTATCTAATCTGCCGCTAATGTCAGACTGACATTTTTTTATGTATGCTAAGTGGCTGGGAATTTGTTTTGGTTGCTTTTTGCTGGACTGATATTTTCATCCTCTGCTTAGTAAAATTAGATAAGAATTAGAACATAAAAATGCTATTAATCTGACATTGTGCTTGGATTTTTTTTTTTTTGACAGTTTGCCGATGTTTACAGTGCTCAGGAAGTTTACCATTCCACTTACTTTACTGCTGGAAATCTTCATACTTGGGTGATCGGTTTTTTTTTTTGTTTAAGATACCTTTATTATAGGTCACATCAAATGGATTACTTATGTCATCAGAATACTGAATGAGTGCCTTTTTCTAAGAAATAAAGAAAACCAAGGAAAGTGGTTTTATGTAGCTTTTTTTTTGAAGATATAGGTACATGTACTTTAGTGAATACAGGAAAAAAAATCAGCTTGCTCTCATTTACACAGCACAGGAATTAGGTAGGCACAGCATGACTCAGACACTTCTTTTGGTGATTATGGTTTGTGTCTCGTCTCAGAGACCCCTAAGCTGCAAACTGCTTCGAACAGACAGATCCTTATGTCTCAAAACAGTGATGACAGTATGGCAGTCTGCTTATATGGAGTAGCTTTCTGGGTCAAGTCTAAGACCATAGCAGCCTAATGAAGCAAAATGGTGTCTAGTAGTGTGCTGTTAGATCAGAGAACTCCACACCAGTTACTTATAGTGAGAAATTAAGAAATATGCTATTGCAGTTTGGTATTGCTAGTTTCAGTTGTACCAATTGGAAGAACAGGAATATGAATACGTCATACTTTGTCACTGTCATAGTTCTATCTAGATGGCTTGTGTTTGGATGAGGTGAGGTCACAAGGGGAGAAGCAGCTTGCTGAAGCTGAACCCAGGCAATTTGAGAGTGATGGTCAGGGGAGAAGCTTTTCAAAAAGCCTCCAAGTAGATTGGCATCTCCTTTTGGCTGAAGCAGCAGTTGATCAATATGATTCAGATTTGGGGATGCTCCAGGATTCTTTTCTAGTTGTAAGTTCTCATAGGGAAAGCAGAACTTGCTGTCGTCTTCTGTTGGCCTGAGGCCTCCCACAAGTGAGGAAAATGCGGGTCAGTGAGATTGTCATCAGTTCTCAGCCAGAGTGCAGCCATGTGGTGTATGAGTGCAAGTAACATCCTAGCCTCAGGGGAGCTGAAGAGCAGAACGCTGTATTCGTACAAACTGCTGCGGTGTATTTCCTCAGGGCTGAAAATGAAAGGGCTCCAGAAAGTCTGTGCTGACTTACGTGAGGGTTTGAAAAGTAGTCAAGGTTTGGCTTGCTAGTGTTGAGATTCACTATGATCAAAGCCTAACATACCTAGAGACTGCATACGTCTTTGTTGTTGGGGCAGCGGTCCACATCTGTACTCCTTTAATGCACAGGAATTCTCTGAGAGCATTGTGCGTGTTCTTTTGATGGATCTTTCCTCACAGGCCGGCTCAGAGCTGCGGGCTGGCCTGAGGGAATGACTAGGGGAATGTCTGTAAGGCACGTTGCAGTACAGTGCAAAAATACTTAAGATGTCTCTAAAGAAAGTAATGCAGGTATAAGAAGCAGGATAGTTTTACGGTATGCTTTTCCCTTCTGTATGGCAGTACTGATGTGGGCATATTGAAGAATAGGGTAAGCTGCTTTCCCTTCAAAGTACAAGGTTTCAGTTTGACTTCAAAATACATATCTATTTGACAAGTAGACCAGATAGTGTGCTCTGCAGCATCTTCTCCAGGAAAGGTGAGATGTAGAACTACAAATGAGATGTGTAGTGATTTTCCTTTGCTGGATTACTGGAAGACACTGAAATATTGCCATTATGAGTGCCTATACACAGTCAATTACAGTTTGTTCCAGCACAGTTACTTTAAACCTTTAGTCTTAGCTCTTATAATTATCTAGTGTCAGAATGCTTACAGTGCTTTTTCAGTCTCTCTTCTCAGGGCCAAAGTCTGACAGTGTGGCACATAATCAGTCACATTTCTTCTGTAAGGTTATCAAGACTGTGTCCTCATGTTAAATGTTCTGTGATTACTAGTTGCTTTGAAACTTTTCAGGCAGACAGCCACTTAATCTCCAAATAATGAAAACTGTGAACTGTCAATTTTTGTCTACAGGAAACGATACCCACTGAGTATTATAGTCAGCGTATTTGCCATCATTCTTGGAGCTTTCGTAGCAGCTGGGTAAGGTTTTCGTTTGTTATACGAAGGCGTGTCATGAGAGGACAAACAACAGGAGGATTTTCTTCCTTGTTAAGTGAACCTTAAGTAAACCTAAGTTGAGATCAGTTACTCTAAATTAAGTTGGTTTGGAAAAATCCCTCTGCTGACATCAATGGGAGGTGCAGGAGCACAAAATGAAAAGTTTGACTCCAGCTGGAAGTATTTGTGTGCTTCTTTTTTTCCCCTTGGGTTTTCCATGTTTGCAGGATCATAAATGAAGCAAATTAAAATTGTGTAAGGAATGCTGCTTTTATTTCATAGTATCAGTGTACTTCAGTAATCTCAGAAAAATATGTTCTTGTTCTGGATAGAAAGACTGATCTTCTGGTGGTCAAATATTGCTTGGAGTTAGGCAACATCTGTTTTTTAATCACTTTTAACAAGCTCAGATGTGAGATTAAGTTCACAAAGCACTCATATGTTAGTATCCTCTGACATTTTTTCTGTTTGGATATTCCTGTACTTAACTGGAATTTTTGTGTTATTTTTTGTTTTGTGGCTTTGCTGTGTACAAAGGTAAATAATTTCCGTGTGATGTGACTCAGATAGAGCCATGTCCTGTTAAATAAATTACCCTATATCCATGAGGTAACTAGTCAAAACAGAAAGGGTGACAATATGTCTGGTCTGACTGTAAAAAAAACAAGCAGTTGTACTTTATTCCTTAGCTAGTTTTTTTTATTAAAAGAAATACATAAGTATACTCAGTAATAATTGGACAGGTTGTCAGGATTGAGACAGATGGAATTTTTCACAGAATGAAAACTGAACATTTCCTGCCACTTCGGCACAGAGTTCTGGGAACTCTCTGGTGACTCGTTTGTGAGGGTTCTGTGACTGGAGCAATGTAAAGTACCTTTACTTACTAAGAAGGCTTAAAGCAAAACCTGTGACTTGCTGGAGTTCTCAGGATTTGTGTTTCCTCATGTATGATACTTCTCTAGGTAAATGAGGTAGTGCAATGCATTGTATATTGTTTGCTTGTTTACAATACAATACTTCTTTCCCAGGTCTGATCTGTCTTTTAATCTGGAGGGCTACACGTTTGTATTGCTAAATGATATCTTCACAGCAGCAAATGGAGTTTACACAAAGCAGAAAATCGATCCAAAGGTAGCTGTGGGGTGATTAGGTTGAATTTAACATTATGACAATATGGTAGCAGTGGGTTACTTATTATATATCTTTATGAACATACAGTTATGAACTAATAAATAGATTCATTTGCTTTCATATTTCAGTTGATGTATGCATCCTTAATACACTACATCATGGGAAAGACTTGTTATTATTATCTCAGGCCAGGCTTTGATAAACAGTGTATTTTATTTTTTCCCAGGTCTCCTAAGCAGAGTTTGTAGTGGCTTTAAAATGTTGGGCTTGGCTAAAAAATAAATCCAAACTGAAAGCAAATTGTTTACCTGTAAACTTGAGATATATATATATATATATCTAAGGAAGATGACTTTTCGAGTAGAAACACACTTTTAAGTGAGGTTTGTGTAAAATAAACTTATGGTAGGAACAGAGACCTGACCACTTTGAGTCATTAACAGTAACAACAGATACCTTTTTTGGCTGTCCTAAAGCAGGTCTATACCAAACCCAGGTATGCCAAAGGCAGTACCTTGATATATTATACTTTGTGTGAACACTGAGCACACTGCCCTTCTAATCCAGTGCTATGAAAACAAACCAAGCCATGGCAAAGAGCAGTCTTGGAGATACTGGATAGAAGTTTTGTTGCTGACACTTGTGGGTCAGTCTGTACAGTGGAAATATATATCTCGTAATGATCTCAGGAGTCGCATCAAATCCAGACTCCGTATTTTTCTTTGTGAGCAGCACTTAGTGGCCTCACAGGTTTCTGCAAAATACGGGGTTTCATTTTAGAGCAAGAGATGGAGAGGTTTGCTGCATAGCATGGCTGAGTCTGGAGGAAGCGGAATCAGCTTTTTCATTCTCCTAATCTTCTGCCTTTGTGTCAAGCAAGTTAACCAACAGGATATATGGCATCCCTCGAGTTGCTTGAAGTTATGTCAGTCACCAGCGATTACAGATGCTCCAGCTGGGAGCCTGACTGCATTGATTTTCCTGCTATGCCGGCCGCAGAGAGCCACCCTGCCCAATGCCTTTGTGATGGATTTGCAGTGGATGGAATGGGTAATCCACTGGCCAGTCTGAGCCTTATCTGCAGTCTAACATGAAGCAGTTCTGGACCAGTGCCTTAGGAATTTTCTGACTAGCTGGTGTTGTACAGAAACTTTCCAGGGCGTAGCAGAGCAGCAGTATTCTGCTGAACGTAAGAAGTGGCTGAAATGGAAACTCAGCTCAGTACCAAACACTGAATCCAGTGGTTGCAAGCTTGTATTTTAAGTTGGAGTGTATTAGGTTTTGTCTACTCATTGACAATAATGTCAGAAGGATTGACAGAGTAATATTTAGTATTTTGCTCCCAAATGGCTCGTAATTCCAAACACCATGTTTCATTTTCACAGGAGTTGGGAAAATATGGTGTCCTTTTCTATAATGCTTGTTTCATGGTGATTCCAACAATTATTATTAGCTTTTCTACTGGAGACTTTCAGCAGGTAAGGAGCAATATTCCATATCTCAGACTGATAATGGTATTCTGTTCAGTTTTTTGAGTTGGGGGAGGGTAGGGGTTTTTGTTTATTTAAAAGAGGTAATCCTACCTCCGTGTTAGTGACTAGTGTTTGTAATATGTGACTTGGACTTCCCTTTACAGGTGAGAACTTGTGATTGTTCACTCTGAGGAGAAGCTGAAGCTATGTGATAGCCCTTAGATGAGTCTCTGTTTGAAAACTAGTGTATGACTGGGGACTCTGAGCTAGAGCAATTGGTTGGGAATCCAGCTGCCCTACGTGATTTGCCACATGCCCTAAAATGAGATTGCACATACCGAAACCAGACAATTCCCAGTCCTTTTCTGATTCTGACGCACAGAACAGATTCCTGTTCAGTCTCAGTCTAGTTTAGTAACCTACATTTTACATTCTTACAGAACGACAGCATGGCTCTCCATAGCTGATCACAATACAGTGTAATGCTGTAGGCAGTATGTCCTGGCACGTAAAGTATCAGACCAGGAGACTTGGGTTGTTTTTCAGGCTCCCTCACAGACTTGCTGAGTTGCCTTTTTGTTACCAATAAAATGAGTCTAGACACTCAGGTTGTCTTTTGGAAATATTTGAGATTTGCTGCTGAAAATTGTTACAGAGCTTGCGGGTGTCATAAATCATTCCAGCGTCCTTTGTTGTATGATGTTGTGCCCTGGACTCACGTGATTTTGTTGTTGCATTATTACAAGTCTGCTTTAAGTAGAAGAACTATCATTCCCTGAAAACTGATGGCTGTAGATCTGCTCCGAGTGTGAAATCTCTTCTTGTGACGTCAGTTCAGCATGACCTTGTGCCAGTTTAGGAAAATGCAGCTGATGCCCTTTTTGGCAGACTTTGTGGGAGCCAAGCTTGTATGGCTGTAAGGTTTCAACTGCTTTCCCAGCAGTCATGGCTGAGGCATTTTGAGAGAACTGGACAGAGAAATTTACCTTGTTGCTAGATTTATTCCATGGGAAAAATTGAGAGTGCGTTGTGCCCACATGTTGATTTGACACAAACATTATAATGCGCAACTACCTGGGAAAAAAATGAAAAATCTGAGAAATGCATGGTGCCTGGTGTGCATGCGCAATGCTTTGGTCACTTAGTGTTAAAAGGGCAATAAGATGATGTGGGTAACTAGTGTCAACGTAATGCATAGAGATTAAACCACAGAAAAAAGGTAGAAAATGGAAAAATACTGATGAAAACTCAACAAAACATTGTAGATTACACCTGTATTTAGCAGATTTTCAGGCCATAGAAGTTGGCTTGCTTTTACCTTAGCAGAGATTTTTGCCTTGATCCGTCACAGGCAATGTACAGCCATATACCTTTTGCCAGTCAAAATATTAGTACCCTGTCTATGTGATAGGGACATTGCTTCTGCTCATTTAGCTCTTTCTGGAGCGGTAGCTACCATGTCTTGTAGAAGCTGCAGTGTGTGAGTGTTCTAGTCATTCACTTCTCCTTTGCCAGTTGGCTGGCTAGGAGGACAGGAAAGCATGACGCAATGGAAGAGAAATGAAGCCCCTGAATGTCTCTTTGTAATACTTTGCAAGTAGTTGTTGCACACCAGCACAATTCTAGCAGGGCAGAGCTGCCCGAGGTCCCTTGAATTTGTTACCTCAGGTGCTGGAGGCCCAGCTAGCCACAGGTCAGCATGGACTTGCAGCCTTTACCCTGTTCTGCAGGGGTGTGTTCAGCCTTTGCTGAGTTTTGTGCTGATAAAGGTGACTTTAAACCAACCAGATTAAAATGAGATGTCTCCTGGGGTTACTAGAGATGGAAAAGAATCTGCGACATGCTTCTTAATGACTAATGTGTGGCACTATGTGTTTGTTTGCTGCGTGTCACTAAGGACCAGACTTCAGAGTGATGATTTAGCCTTTTCATTGACCTTCATTGATGAGAGACCTTAGTAATCCTTATTTAGTTTACTTTTTTGCTCAGAAATGCAGGCTTGGACCTTGAAAGCTGTTCATGAATGGAATCTATGGTATACAATAGATTTCAAGGAGATTATTTATTTATTTGCTTTTCTGTCTGATATTAACACTATTTATTTTATAATATTAGTCACAATGTTGGTATCTGTGTCAATAAATATAAAAATACAGATTCTCTGTATTGTATTTGTATTCATTGCTTCCAGTATGCAGTTTTATATCTGCACAGTTATATATGTTACAAGAATGTGTCTAGGTATCATGGGTACTGTTGTCCTCTTGTCTCTGAGGTTAAATGCCAGTAGTAATGCCAACATTTTGTAACTATAATAAGAATCAAATATATTTTGTGATTTTGCACATTTTCATGTTAATGATATTTTTTATGTGTTAACAGTTGTTTGTATAGCTGGTTATATATTCTCACTTTTTTTTTTTTAATAGGCAACACATTTCCAACACTGGACAAATTTTTTATTTGTCTTTCAGTTTCTTCTTTCCTGCTTCTTGGGGTAAGGACACAGGCCAAGGAAGTAAGACATTTTAATGACAGTATTTAGAATTGCAAAACTTAAATGTAAGACTAACTAATCGGTAATGTTAAAATTCAGAGAAAATGTATTTTTCACCCAGGCTTCTGTCTTGTCTTTTAATTATATCTAGTAGTGTAAATAACTGTTTCAGTTAACTGTGTTGTTGACTTCACAAGTACAGTGGTCAATAACATGACATTTAGATTTTTACTTTCTTTATTCAGTATCTCTCTGCTGGATGTCTGTTCTGATTATCTGACTTCTTTTTTGCAGTTAATAGAATGTAAGCCCTTTAGTATAGGGACAGTTTCAGTGTGTTTGTTCTTTAAAGTACCTGGAAAAGTACGGGAGACTCAAAAGTAATGAAACAATGCTTTGTGCCTGGTGGAACTGCAGAGTCAAAGCAAGAATGAAAAAGTAGGTTGGATCCTGTTCTGCTCTTTCACACGTTACCAACTAAGGGGTCAAACTGACTTCAAACACTGACATTTAAGAAGCACAGAAAGCAGATATGACTCTGCTAGAGCTCAAGCAGCACATTTTACCGTGTATTTTGAGTACTCTGTATATGCACATCATTAACTTAAAATACAGATCCACAGAATCTTTTTTTAGGATTTGGAACAGGCTGGCTTGATGATCCCAGCAAAATACTGATTCAGAAAATGTTGAACAATTCGAAGTGTTGCTAAACTTCTGAGCTCCCTGGAAGGAATTTACAAAATTTTCTCCTTTTTTTCTTTTTTCAGGTTTCTCTTGATGTATTCTACTGTTCTATGCAGTCATTACAATTCTGCACTTACAACGTCAGTAGTTGGTGCCATCAAGGTGAGTTGTGGAGAAGAGAGAGATGAGAATGCTCAAATAGACAGGGAAGAGCATTAACTCAGCAGTGTTCCAGATTACATTTTGAGCTGGAAACTCAAAATGAGGGCTAATACTGAGTCATTGCTTGTGCCATACATTTTGGAGATCCACACAACAAAGTGGCCTTGTTTTCTTCCATTGAAGCTCAGGTATACTCTAGAAAGTAGTGTGAGTATTGATTTATTTTTATTTTTCATACATGAGAAACTTGAACCCTGTTAATTAAAAGATGTACGTTTAACCACATTTCATCAGGTACTGCCACCTGCTTCTGTTTCTCATCAAGTTACTGTGAGTTAGTCAGGGTAGCGTTGTGCGACTTCATTGCAAACTGATACAGACTAACCCACTTTCACTTTGGGCTGAACTAGTTTCTGTTGCTGCTAATAAATACAGCATTTGTAGATACAGAATAATGGCTAAGCTGTAGTAAGGAGTTTGTTACTTTGTGGCTAACTGCTCCTGTCTGTGTGTGAGAACTTGTATTCTAACTGAATGGACTATTTCATTTTGGTTTGTATAACTTCTGGTCAATTTGATCAACACCAGAACATGCCTGTCTTAAACACTGAACTTGGTGTCCTTTACAGTCTGTTTTCTCTAGCCTGCTTTCATTTAAAACCGGTGAAACTTCCTTTGTGCTGAGAAGGCCAGCATGTCTGACCTGGGAAGATCACTGACTGCACAAGCACCTTTTTGTAGGTCGGTTTGGAGAGAAGCACAGAGCTGTAGGCTGGAAGTGTTTTAGCAAAAGATAAAACTTGTGCAGTTGTGGGCCAAACAACTATCAGAATCCAAACTAGCTTAGGCACAGGAATAACAGTGCTCAGAGTGCTCCCTTTCATGGGTGACGAAGGAAAACAATACCTCCAGCATAGCAAAATCCTCAAAAAAAAGATGGTACTCTCTTTCTACAGTTGTTTTTTTGTTTTTTTTGTTTTTTTTTTTTTTTTTAAACCTGGCAAGATTAATCGAGTAGTTTTTTTTCTGTGGGTTTTGTGTTTTTTTTTTTTTTTTTTTTTGAAACCTGGCAAGATTAATCGAGTAGTTTTTATTCTGTGGTCTTGAAAGTGTTCTTTTAAATTTTATGTGTCTGCGTTGAACCACACTAAGATAGAGCAACACTGTTTCTATTTTCTGAGTTATAATTAGCATTTGAGACATTTTGAATAGCTTTAAAGTTGAGAAGCACTTTATGATGTAGTAGTCTCCAGTAGAAACTGGTAGAATGATGTCATTGTCCAGGCTAACTGCTAAAACACTTGAAACCAGCAAAGTGTTGGTAAAATGATCACACAGTTCTATAGCTTTCCTTCTGTCCATAGGGGACAATTTTACCAAAACTTGATGGGAGCAGGGATCGGGGCAGAATCTTTAAACTGTGCCTGCCTTGAACTTGAGCCAAGTGCTTTCAATGCACATTTAGTTAGCAAAGTAGGGAGGTAACCCTTTTAAAGCAATACTGAAGAGCTTTTGTTGTAACTTTAAAGCATAATTTTTGTTACTGAGAACGCAAATCCTGTCTTTCAGAAATCAGATTTGAAATGAGCCTTCTGAAGATTGAAAAAATGTACATTTTCAGAAGGTGGCCATAGCTCCATTTTACCTAACATCAAATAGCTAATTTAATTTTTTAATTTTATTTTATTTTGGTTTTTTTCCCAGAAAGCCACACTCAGTGCATTGCATGCCTTTAGAAAACATCCTAATTTTATTATTCTGTTTCGCTGTTAGACAACCCATAAGGCTGACATCCCATGAAACTAATTTAAACACTGATTTTAGAGTGGCCAGCAACAGAGTACAGCTATTTCCCTAGAAAAGTAAATTAACTGATAGAATTTGTATTCTTGGAGATGAAAACTGACTTTAGTAAGTGCATGGCTTTTGTTTCCTTTCAGAATATATCCATTGCTTACATCGGAATGTTGATTGGTGGAGATTACATATTCTCCGTGTTAAACTTTATAGGGCTAAATATTTGGTGAGTGAAACTTGAATAGCTTTTACTTGTTAAAGCTGAGGATTTCTGAGTGAGATAGAGTTTTATGTTTTGTTTGATTTGGCACACTTGGGTGATGCAATTTTGACACTACTGACCTGAGGACGCACTACCTCAGGATGTAAAGTTCATTACAATTAGTTATCTTTTTTCATGTCACTTTTCATGTACTGAATCTTACTATGGTAAGATCTTAACTATGGAAACATGCCTGCAGTTTTACTGTGTGGGGTTGAGTTAATTCTTTTTTTATGAGCAGCAGTTCTGAGCTGCGAGGCTGCCAAGTAAAAGCCAAGTGGTGTGGGAGATGAGAACACTGGTTGAATGAGTTGTGCCTGTTGAATATGTTATGACTTGTGGGTTGTAACTTCTTGTGTTTGTATGAACTGTTACATCTGTTTGTATGGATATGTTGGAGCAACTGATAATTGATATGTGTCTGCTTGGGGCTTGTTTCTCAAATGGCTTACATAGCTCTGAGGCACTCCTAGTTTATGGTAGCTGGCATTCCTTTTTCATCTTTTAGAAGGAAAGGTACATACCTATAAAATGATACATACAACATGATTTATCTCTCACACCTCTCTTCATTCTCTTTTCTTTAGTATGGCAGGAGGACTGAGATACTCATTTTTAACCTTAAGAGGAAACAGCAAGCCTACGCAACCTGAGGATGAAGAGAATGCATTTGCGACGTCAAAGAGTTAGCCAAAATACCCTGTTTGAAAGACACTGAAGATACAAGTTTTTTTACCATTGCTGCGAACTAAAGTATATGCTGGAACATATTGGGAATAAGAAAAGAAAATCTACCTCAATTGCCACAGATGTGTACACAACTAATTGGTTCAGGAATATTCTTGCACACCCTGTTTTTTACACGTGGACAAGTTTAGTTTTAGATTATTTTTTTTACACCACGAACGAATTTGTAGGAAGTAATGCCATGAGCAAATCTCAAGCTATAAATTTCTTCATCTACCCGTACTTTGGTGCTGTTTGTTCTGTTTCGGTGCCTGCCAGTATTCTCTGAGGGAAAACCGCCCATAAAGATAGATCATGAGGCTTGATTCACCATTGCCTTATGCCGTATGCAATCTTTGATATCTCTGAAGAGATGAAAGATGCTAGTAATTCAGAATGATTTCACGTATGCAGTTGCTCTTGTGTAAGTGACCGTAGAACTTACAGGGCAAAGAGGAGATGTTCCCCATGTGTTGACTGAAGAGTTCAGGATATGGCCTCATGTGTTCCGTATCTATTGTGTAAACATTCTCTCTTGATCTTTTGCTCATCCTCAATAACATCATGATTTTCTGCTGCAATTGTCACTGTTACTATAAGTGAACCCTCATAGCTGCAGGATCAAGGGGAGAAGGAAATGGAGATAGTATTTTTTATATTTAAAAAGATTTTTTTTGTATGTGAGCCAGTACCAAACAGGTAACTAGGAGAGACAACAAAGGTAAATCTATTCTTGTTTAGGTACATTCGTCTTTTTATATCACAGTCCCCTCCTCTGGTCTTTTGTTTATAATTACCTTTTAATGCTGGAGAGAAATTATGCTACAATATGCAAACTACAAGAGGGGAAACTGATTGATATATAGAAGACTAACTTGTGTTTAAATAAGGAGAAAGGATCAGTGCCTTGTTTTGTCCTATGTATGCAGTGAAAGCTTATCTGGTACTAATTCATGCTTAAAATTCGGAATAAGGCATCTCAGCAAGCCCAAGGGGTTGCTGCAGTGGGCAAGGCTGGTCCAGTGGTTAAAAAACAGGATCTGAAATCTGATCGTTTGGGTTATCACCTGGGACAGTAATGGCACCACTCTGTATCTTTATTTCTTTTTCTGAAAATACAGGTGCTAATGCTTACCTGTGTCTCTGAGGATACAGCATTAGTCTCTGAAAACACCATAGAAGCATTGCAGCACTAGAGGACAGCAGAATAATTAATCTTGATGAAGTTTTCAACTCCCTGCAAGCATGAGCTGTGATTTTTTACAATAGACAATCAAAAGAAGATTTTAGAAGACCGCAACATGGAACCCGGCTGATTTAATGACTTGTTTTATCCCTGCTTGAATTACAATCTAGCTAAATCTGTAAAGCATTACTCTGTGAGTAACACATGAATGACCAGACCAGATTAGATCTAAGAAACGTGTGAATAGCTCACACCAGAGCCTTCAGGGAGTGACTGGGCTGCCACCACCTTCATGGATTTGAATGGCAAGAGGAGGAGTGACTGCAGATATTAGAACTGGAATTTAAGGGCACAAAGTGGAAATACAAGTCCGGGCTATCCAGTTTCTCACAGCTGGCTAAGAGATGTGACTTTCATTTTCTACCTGTTGAAGAGCTCGGAATCGGAAGGGAATGGGTTTCTGCAGATATTTTAGAGAGATCTTCTGTTTTTGAAGATTTCATTTATGCCTAAGAAGTCTTTGAGTGTATTCTTCTATAGGACTCCTCTTTCTTCGTCAGGAGGGTTGGACTACATGACCCACAGAGGTCCCTTCCAAACCCTACTATTCTGTGATTCTGTGATTCTACAGATCATCGCTACCTCCAGAGTCCTGATTATTGAACCTCATCTTTCTGCAGTGGGATAAGGATTGGAAGGTTTTCATTAGTTATGAAAATATTATGAGAGCCATTTGATTGCAATACGAATGAACACATAATGGTACCTGCTAAATAAGATGTAGTTCCCACGAAGGAACAGCTACTGTATGCATCTAATTCATTAATATTTTGCTATACTTTTTATAAATAAAGAGATGGAGATTATAGTTTTAACAAGTTTTTTGTTTTTTGTGTGGATGGACATGTAAGATGCTGTTAAGCACACATGGATAGCACGAATATTTGCTTTCTATATCGTCATTCTATATCATGCTGTACTGCACTTGAGGTAGTTTCATTAGTTCATTCTGTACTGTAGTGGAAGTGATTTTAATTAATTAATTGTTCATGTCATGTTTCTGAAGTCCTTCAGACTTAGCCTTCTTCCCTAAAATACAGGCCAGATTCCCAAAGTCTTCATGATAGTATCACTCAGAATAATTTAAAATACAATTTTAGGAATAACCAGAAGTAGGTATTATCTAGAAGTTGCAAGTGCTTGCATCAGCTTCACTTACTATTTTCCTTTGTATCTGTGGAGATAATATTGATTCCAGTAAATTGGCTGGTTGAGACTCTGGGAATGTGAGCTTAGCGAGGCACAACTCTCATGTTAGAATTCAGGCAATTATGGAAATGGTTCTTTCTTTGGGAACCTCAGTAGTTGTGTCTTCTAGTTAATAAAGTCATAATTTAAAACTGATTTCTCTTAGGACTTTTTGTAGGTAGTCCTAACCTTACTTTTCTACGGATTTCTTATTAGCTTAATGAAGTATTAGAACATTTGTAAAACTACATTACTTACATGCTGTGTGAAGCTTCATTTTCTTTTCTCTCTTTTGGAAATACAGTAAAAATTGTTAGAGAAAACATTAGTCTTCAGAACACATATTCAAAAGAAGCATTAAGAAGACTAGTTTTAGGAAATACTGGACTGACTTCTGAAAGTTGCATTCCCTTGCAGAATTGTCTTGTGGTTACATGCTGCTAGCTACAGAATTTGATTTTCAGAAGTCAGTCCAATATTTTTAAAGCTTGCTAAGTTCTATGGCTGGGCAGGTGTATCTACAAGGGAACACACAAAGAAACTTAAAAACAGTGACCATATTGGAAAGGAATATTGTACTGTACGTTCATCTGTTCATACTCTTCATTTTAAAGGGTTTGCCTAGCAGTGGGATAGCTGTAATGGAATGAGATTAAGAGTGAAAAAGCAGAGTGGTCACCCAAGGAAGCTTTCTGCCCATGCAGTGTGTAAGGTTCTTGCAGGGATTCCCGTGAAAGTCAGAGAAGCAATACCTCAGGAAAAAAATTTAGACTGAGCTGGATGAACAATTCTTCACATTTATAAGAATTTATTATTTTTCCCGTCAGTATCTTGGCCTGATTTACATATATTAGGTCCGTGAAGTACTGTAAGCGTGTCTCAGACTTGTTACCAGCCTCTGGAAAAGAAACTGTCAAGGGAGTATGGGCAGAACTGGAAGTGCGAAAGAAAAGACTGGCAGCTATAGAAGTTTGCATTTTGACTCTGTCATCAAATAGAAGTGGTTTTGTTTCTTTTTCATTTAAAGAAGGTATACAGCATTGTTGCATATGAAGAACACATTGCAACTAGTTCAAAGTATTCCTTGAATAATAGTGAGTGATAATTTGTGGAATTTGTGATGGTCAGTAAATATTTTTGAAATTCTGATTGTTTTTGATCTGACTGGCCTTACTTATGAGGTAAAATAAGGTGTTATGGTATAGAAAGCAGTGATTATACTGACATATTATGAGAACTTATGTGTGAGGAAACTGGATTATTAAGCTGAGATGGTTGTGATTTTTGTCATTTTTACTCTGCAATACACCTGCATATTGTGGTTTTCTGGCTGAAAGTGTCAGTAATGTGACATTTGACCTATATTGCTGCTCTTCAGCTGGAGATTTCTGGGTGTCAGCTTTAAGTGAATTTTTAAAGATGATTCATGTTAAGTGTGGAAGAATATCATTAAAATATATAGACAAATTTTATTTTACTTTATCCTAAGTGCTTATGTAAGCATCAGTTTTCCTCTTCTCCAGTTTAAACTGATCTTTAAAAATGGGTAATGTTTCAAATTGCCACTACAAAGAAAAGCAAAGGTTGTTTTTGTGCCTTCCCTGAGAAATTCCACGTTAACTTTTAAAATTTCTTTTAATAACTTGAGGTCTGAATTTCATTGACTTCATCTTTGTCTTGCAGTGAGATACTGTTCTTGTGAGCTTTTCTTCCCCTTAAGGTTTTGATGCACATCCTAAACTTCAGTACTTGTTCAAACACTTTGTTCAGAAAAGCTGAAAGTCCTGTTCCCTTATTAACAGATTACTACACTTACGCCGTAATGGCACCATTTGTAAAATGGGTGTGATGGTATTAACCTCTTTTCTGAAAACCCTTTGAAAAGTTACATAATACTGCTTTCTCTGTATAGAAATAATTAGGTGACTTTAGTAACCTTTCATTGTTTTGTCTTTGGATTTGTAGATAAATCTGTTTTTCTGGCCTCCACGCAAGTTCGATGTGAACTTGCCCTGGAAGTGTCTGGGCTAAATTCTTAGGCGCTGTAAGAAGTAGTGCTGATGCTTGTTATCCTCAAGGTTTGGAGTGTTCTTATCCAGGGTTTTGTTTTATACCCGTTGTTAGTCTCTATGAATCCTAAACAATGACAATGAAAGTATTTTTTTTTTTTTGGTTTTGGGTAGTTTCCAGAAAAGGAGTGAAACCTTTTCTCCAAAGCACACGCCAGAAATCATTGTTCAGTTTGGATTTTGTCTGTAGTTTACGAATCTGGGTGTAATGTGGAGATGCTATTCTAATCTAAACCCTTGACATTCCTTGGAAAAAAAAAGTCACGTGATTTGATTAGGCTTCTCACTTCTCTGCCAGTGCTCAGAGAGTAGCAGCCTGCTGGAAAGAGGCATTTTGCGTGGAGAGAGCGACTGATTCATCCTAGTTCACCGCCTTCGCTCACCATGGAAGCGTTCCAGCATCAGCTACTCACTCTTGCTGGGGGTCTGATCTGTTTCTGTACTCTGCTAAAGTGCATCAG